CACTTGCACCTTTGAAATCCCTTAGCTGTTCAACCCCTCCCTCCCTGCCTCCCTCCCTCCCTCCCTCCCTCCCTCCCTCCTCTGCTGAAGCCATACACAGGTATTCCGCAAGACGGGGGTTGGAGCACGAGGAAAGAGCAAGCGGGTCAAAGGAGAGGCAAACCCGCAGCCGATTGTGTAAGGGCCTGGAAGAGTTTTGAATTTTGAAAAAGAGAGAAGTAGGATGCCTGTGAATGCTGCATAAACCATTTCCTACACATTTTCATTGTCTTGCTCAGTTTGTGCTCTGCGATGGTAATCACAGCTCGACCCCTTCAAGGCCTTTGCTCTGTTTTTCTATGACAAAAACTACATGTTGAACCCAAATGCCGCGCCCATGTCATCCTTCGATGCTCCACCAGATACTGTTGTTACAATGCACTCCTCAGATGTAGTTGTTTGGATGCCAGAACTGAGGAGCTACTCCGTTGCAATCAAAGGCTGGAGGACAAGCAACCGAACCTGCCAACACCAACATGCATCACATACTGACCTGAGAAACCCACCCGTCAACACAATTTTTTGGGTTATGCTCACCGTCGTCGCCAATGAGAGAAGGATCGACTCCTTTCAGCCCGTAGTAGCCCTCATTGTCTCTCGCGACACAGTTTGTGCCCCCGTCTCCGCATACTCCGCTGCAACCAACACCAGTCAGTTACAAGTATCCAAACAGACCTATGCTCACGTATCATACTCGTCGTAAACACCCATCGGCCCTCCCATCCCCGTGAACTGGAGCATTTGTTGGACCAACTTTGTGATCTGCATGAATCTGTTAAATCTCAACCTGCACATATCCTAACAGCTGTGCATCCCAGCAAATTGGAGCGAAACTAGCTCCATATTATCCCTCCCCTTCATCAGATCCTTCCCATCCTCCACCTCTTTTCCTCCTCGTCTCCTCCTGTTCCAATGCGTCTTCTGCCCATGAGCATCTCCCACTCAACATCCCCACCCCTCCTTGCATTCCCACAACCGCTCACTTACCATCGCGACTCTTCGGTCCTTCCCGGGCAATCGTAACGGAATATAACTGCCCGCATCTTCATTCATAAACAATTTGAAAAATGAAGAAAACTTCCGAAATCTAAAGGGAAATTTTCAAATTAAGCTCTACCTCACTAAGTCGGTCCGATCACAGACCGTATCGGACTGTCCGACACACGGCCCTGGCAGGCCCGAAGGCCGAGTCAGCCAGGGCCGCCCGGGTCGGCGGCCGGGCGGCCCGGCCCGCAACTCAGAGTGACTAACAGGCTCGGGCGGGGCCGTCCGGCGATCCGAGTGAACGTTCACCCGGAGAGCGGCCCGGGCCGCCGCCCGCGGGCCCGCCGGTGATCGGACGCCGGTGGCAGGCGGCCGCCGCTCAAGCCTGCAGTGCCAGCCTTGAAATTGACTCAGTGACCGGCGAGCCGCTACTACCGGGAGTTTTTGCTCATGATCGGACAGAGCCTCGAAACGGTTTGAAACTTGATCGACTTGGCAAGTTAAGGGGCGTTTTGGTTCGCAGTGCCGGGACTAGTAAGCCCCCGTATTTATGAATTTCCGTAGGCCTGAGTGTCAGTGAGTGACAGAGAGGATAGAAATGGAAGTGAGAGGGTTGAGAAAGAGAATGAGGAGAGTAAGGAAGAAGGAAGAGAAAGTACGGTAAGAGAAAGGAAACATCCGATTGCAACCGTTCCAGTACACACGGTTACACCGGGACGTCTGGGCTGATCTAGGTTATGAGCCACTTGCGGCTTTCTCTCTCTCACTAGAGTCGCTGCCAGCATCATGGCATGTTGAAGGCCCCTCGTCAAATACTCTACGGGCAGCGATGACATGGCGGGACTGATGAGATCGGATGGCATGGTCACCAGTTGCTGATGGGTGTCTATTGTACGGTGGAGTTTCATTATGTTGAATACCATACACACTTATGTGTTGACATGATTCATCAATTTACTGGTTTGTTGTGGGTACGACGACGCGGATGAATTGTGGTTCACTTACGGCCCATCATAGTCTTCAGCCGTCTTGTTCGAGCAGCAGCGATACCGCATGAGGTGTCATCAGCCTCGGTCTTGGAGGTGAGAAAGACAAGAGAAGCGTCAACCGCAACTGTCCCTGCGCTAGAGTGACCTCGTTTCCACTTGCGAAGCTGCTTCTCAGCGAGATGCTTCGATTTCTCCACATCGAGATTCGCAATCCTGTCAGAAAGCAGTCAGAACATAAGGCATCATCGAGGTAGATTTACTTGTTCTGAATGTGAAATGCAGTAAGAAGCATGTCATCTTCTTCGACCTCTTCGATCTCCTCTTTGAAGCACTGCTGAAAATTCAAATTGCTGTCTGCATCTATCAAATGATCGCATGTGTAAGGGAAAAAGCTGTTTCCCGAAGCACTGAAAGCCTCGGTAGAATCAAAGGGAGAACCATCGCCATGGCTTTCCAAGTTTCTATCGGACAACCTGATTCATCGAGGTCAGAAAGTAGATGGTAGAAGGTTGAGAATACCTTTCGACATCTGAGATGATCTCGCAGTGGTCTGAAACTCTTGCATGGGCATCTCCGACTCTATCGACATCTGACCGTGCGTCTCCGACTCTTTCGACTTTGAACCTCTTGTCGAAGTCTGAGACTGTGTTGGCTTGAGCTTGAGTCTGATCGTGTGTCTGCACATCTTCACTGGGATGAGATGATTGCTTCCTCATGACTACCCGTCTTCTGTACAATATGTAGATTGCAATAGAGACCAAGAAAGCCCCACCACCACCAGCAGCAGCTGATATGATGACAATGGATGAACTTCCACTGCTGCTGCTCTTGTTCTCACTCGACGTCGCTGTCGGGGCGGCTGCAATCCCTCCAGCAGCACTCGTGGAGTTCTTGTTTGCCTGCGAGGTTTCCTTCAAGTTGGAGATTCCCACGAATCCTGTTTGTTTCTTGATGTTGTTATTCAACTTGTTCTCGGACAGCGTCGAAGCATAGTTGACAATAGAAAACTCGATGCTGTAGGAATAGCTTGCTCTTCTACTGAGCTGCTGAAAGCTCAACAAGATCACATCGGAAACACTGACTTGAGCCGTTTCAGCCACTGCTTTGATAAATAGCACCTGGTACTCATAAGAAAACTGAGCTGTTGTGGAGAGATGCACTTGAAAGCTTGATGTAGACCCCTTGATGCATCTTCCTTTAGAAATACCATCACATCCACTCCAGTAATACCCTTTCTTGCAATTCTCCTGTATACAGGAACTGCAGATTGTATCGGAAGACTCAGAGCACGGAGTAGATACATATTCTGTCTTGGAGCAAACAGTGCAGTTAAAACATATTCTATTCATATTCCATTTGCAGTCTTGAACCAGATATTGTCCGGAAGAGCAGGAGGTGCATTGCTTGCAATTTCCCAAGTTGTCTGCATTGCATCCTATAACATATTGAGATTGACCGCAGGTCTTGCATGAGTAACAGTCGTTCAACTTGCTTGAGCCCGGGGCAGAGAGGTGGTTGGCAGGACATGAGACGCATGCGCCCGTGGTTGAGTCCTGATATGAGCCTGCAGGACACGGCTTGCATCCGAGGGAAGAGTTGACATATCCTGGCTGGCAGAAACAGCTCGCTACCGACGCGCTTCCCGGCGCTGACGTTGAGTGTTGAGAGCAGGGTAGGCAAGAAGATGCCCCATAGCGCTGAGAACTGTACGTCCCTGCTGGACAAACCTTACACTTGCCCGAGGCACTTGCGTCATAGTAACCTGGAACGCAAACGCAAGAAGCTTGTGCCGACATCGTTGTGGTTGTATTGTGATCACAACTTTTGCATCCATCATTGCCACTCGTTGCCTTGTACTTCCCTGCCGGACAGGCGCTGCATCCTGAAGGAGCCAGGCTGTCATATCCCTTGTTACAGAAACATTGAGTCATGAGCCAACTGCCCGGCTGTGAGTATGAGTTCAAGGGGCAAGGCGAGCACTTGGTGCCCTCCTGGTAGGTTCCAGCATTGCAGTTGGAGCAATCCTGTTTCGAAGGGTCGCAATGACAATCTGAGAACTGCGAAGAGCCAGCGCTCGAGGTGTAGTTGAGAGGGCAAGTTTGACACCTTCCGTTACCTAGAACATCCTTGAACGTTCCTGCTGGGCATGGAGTGCATGTTCCGTTCAGCAGGAAGCGACCAGGGGAGCACTCACAATCCGCTTGCGAGGTGCTGCCTGACCCTGCCGTGCTGCTTCCGTCCGGGCATGAAGTGCACTGGGTCGAGCCCTCAGAAGCAGCGAAGGAACCCGGTGGACACATGGAGCAAGCATGCGACGCTGACTTGTCGGTGAAGTACCCGGGACTGCAACTGGTGCATGCAGACTGTCCCTGCGAATCTGAGAATGTTCCCTTGAGGCAGTCACGACAGATTTCGCCGTTTGCAGAGAATGTCCCAGCACCGCATGGACTACAGCCGACGTCGGAGTTTACCTCGCACTGCTTGGAAATAAAGAAGCCAGCAGAACAGTTCGAAGAACATCGTCTACAGGATGCCTGTCTGCTGTTGCTGCATGGGAAGTATTGAGTTGCTGTGTAATACACCTTGCATTCAGAACTTGAACTTGAGGTGCTTGTGTCGCATCCCTCCAGAAAGTATCCATCACTGCAATCGTACTGTCTGATGCAGCTGTCTAGGCCTAATTCCTGTGCCGCAAACACCACCAGGGGACTTTGCAGATTGCTGGAAGAGCTGAGGATGGATCTTCTTCGGACTAAGGTCCAGTTACACTGACAGATGAGCACTCCTTGATCGAACTCTGACACGTCAGCTGAACATACCAAGCCTGAATTTGTCTGCTCCACTGCAACACAACGAATTTGAGACCGAGCCATCTCTCTCTCGTAGCCAAACAGCTTTGATATGAAGATCGGGATCCGGATCCGGACTGCTGACCAAGGCAGCATTTGGCCCCAAGATGTAGAATGAAGTGAAGTGCGTATCAGATCTGAACGAGATAGGAGAGACTGGTTGTAGAGAACCTCATTGAACGAGAACGCATGGCTTGACAGGAAATACTCTTGTCCTGATGCCGATGGGTTTGCATTGAAGATCATTGAGACATTCTTCAACTTGAGATTCTCTTCAGACCTGCGTGGGATCGGCAAGACAAAAAGGCTTGGCACGCCAGCTGTTCGTGCAGGATTAGCTCGGATACTAGATGCCACAAGACTGGAGGTGAGATCGTTCTGTATCCCTGGAACCATAGACTGAGAGAACAGCTTCAGGCTTCCATCAAACGTTTCGCTGACGTTGAGCATGTAAGAGAGCAAGTTTGCTCCGCTCTCATTCAATTGATGCTTCATGAGCAAGCACGAGCTGTAGATGTCGGCAGCGGTCTGCAGTGTCACACTCGATTGAATAGAACCTTGATAACCTGTTATCAAGGATTCTAGCAGTGTTGTAATGTTGGCAATCACCTCATTGCTACTAGAAGCAATAACGTTTGTAACAGCTGATATCGTATCAAGTACCTGAGAATAGTAGCTTTCAGAGGGCAGCATTGCGTCTGCCTCTGAGTATAGAGTCTGCAACATGAAGGCAACAGCTGACTCAGCACTCTTCGGTGAAGAGACCTGCAAGGCAGCAGCAGAGATCAATTGATTGGCACCAAACAAGTTTCCCTTCTTCATCGCACTGTCTACAGAAGCCTTGACTTGTCCCCAGACGCTCATCAAGTCCTGTGCAAGCATTCTTCGACGAGACCATCCGACCTCTACTGTGTCGACTTGACTCTGCGCTGTGGCACCTTGACTGTCTGTGATCTTGGCAATGACAGAGATAGTACCTTGAGGGAGCTGCATCTGAATGGAATTCATCATGGACGGCGGAAACCAATAAGTCTTTCCTGAGGAGAGGATCGAGAACCCGAAGGAGTAAGTGAGAGGTACGTTCACTCCTGTCCAACCAGAGCATGACATCACGAACGTGTCAATGAGAGGTCTCCCTTGCGTCGTGCACGTCGAACCCTGGGGTTGCAGGCATACTGTGCACGAGCCACCAGAAGGTGGAGCATTGAGCTGTACTGTGAGCATCGCCTCACCAGCAAGAGCTCCCAACTTGCATGCCAAGGTCAAGTTGTACTTGATTCCAACTAAGAAAGCAGATCCTTGGACAATGAAGTCATACTCGCTCCATCCGAGAGGAAAGATGTTCAAATCGGCGGCATCAACATTGGGATTCGGTACAATCTTCCATGATGGACTGCTTGCAGGGTTGTCACAAGTTCCTTGCAGAGCCAGGCGATCCGATGAGCTGATTGCTATGACTGAGTCAAATCGCTGCACATCGCCGTAAGGGAACACCTTTGCCACTGGCGTATTCGGGCGCGTCACGTGTACGGTCATAGTAGCCGAGGTCGGGTTGAAGCCAGGCTTGAGGACATTGACAGTGAATTGATAGGGTGAAAAACTTGTTCCTCCTATCATAGACGTGTTCACGACAATCTGAGAGTCCGAGGGGAATCCAATCGCTTGTCCTGAATTCCCAACACATGCTGAAGCTGCACCGGATACCACATAAGTGCATTTCCACAAATATTGCAGATTCCGAGCAGCGTCAGTTGCAAGGTTGGGGTCGCGTGAGCCGCTCGCGTCAAGCTGGAGCAAAGTGTTCACTGGGACCGAAGTTTGCGAGCCTCCAGCGATGGTCGCTATCAAAGGAAGAGCAGAGGTGACCACTTGATAGGTGTAATTGGTTGAAGCTACTGAATTCTGTTGAGATACAATCAGCGTGAAAGTGTATGTCTGTCCTGACTGTAGAGCTGACCATGGAACCCAGAGGATACTGTTTGCTTGGCTGGTATATCTCCTGAGCTGCTGATTGGCTGCAGAACTCGTCCATGAGAAGACAATGTTATCCTCTGTAAGTGAGCACCGCGAGAATTCAGCCCCGACTGTCACAAGAATGTCTTGATTAGGTGAGACCGTCAGAGGTGATGACGGCGTGAACTTGACCTGAGGGATGGGACTCTGGATTCTCATCACATTGATGGTCGCTTGTGAGCTGGAGATCCCCATGAAATCGATGACTGTCACTGCTATGATGTAGTTGATTCCAACTTTCATACTTGTAGATCCTGCAGCAAACGTCAAGCTACTTTGAGACCTAGGATACTGAGCTAGAGTGCTATTCAAGGTGTCATCATTCAGGCAACTCCACTGATAGGCGAGTGAGCGGGTGCTGGATGTCGAAGTCTGGATGATCAAGGTTGAACATGCATCGATCTTCTGGGGTCCGTAGAGCTGCACGAACGGACGAACTGGGTTCTGTGGAGATCCTACTGTCGCAGATGACAGCGAATTTTGAGAGATCTTATTCACTGTCCTAATGTTTTGTACTTGTATGATACTTCCAGGTGTGATGCTTGCACTCTGACCAAGTTGAATCGTTAGCTTCACATTCGATACCCAGCGACAGGTTGGCGATGCTCCCAGTCCATCTAGAGAGGTCAGAACAAAGTTGCAGGAAGTGTAAGAGCTGTCCATTCCTGCTTGATCGGTTGGTTGGTCAAAAGAGAGGCTGATGGAACTGCCATCACTCTCGAAGTTCGCGCTCGTCAGCTCCGGCGCGGCCCAGTACGAGAATCGAGCTGAGACTGAAATGCTAGAGTCTGACAAAGATGACACAAGAATGCTCACGTAAGCACTGCCGGCTTGCAGCGAACAAGAAGCGCAAGTGAAGTCCGGAGGGACGAACGTGAGGTATAAGCCTGTGGCATTGATGCTTTGAAAGTTGACTTCAGGAGCTGTCAAACCTCCAACTGTCACTGACAAGTCGTTACGAGCGGAGTCAATAGATTTGTATGGCATTCCTACTGCAACAAGAGCAACGGGTATCGCTGAAACAGTAGAAGCAATGCATCCGCTGCCTGAGCACGCAAGTGACATCCTGTCATCAACCACGCTGATTGTGAAAGGAACTGAAATTGGTACAGAGGCAGGTGTAGAAAGAGAGATGGTTGCCTCAAGGGCTCCAATCGGGAGTGAACTCGGTACACCTACCTGAAAGCTCATTCTGTTCGAATCGTGTGTCTTGATCAATGAGACACCTGTGACACTCTGACCTTGGAATCCATTGAAACTGAAAACTGCTTGAGCAGGAGTGATTAAAGTTCCTTGAATCACTTGGATTGATTGTATCCAAACGTATAAGTTGTCCACGACAATCTCCAGCACATTGTCTGCGTTCGAATCTTGAAGTGATGTATACGAGATCGAGTTTTGTGAGGGGACTACTTGATTAGAGCAAAGGTCCTGCACGATGCACAAGGCCCTCACGCGGTTACAAGATTTGCAGAAGCGGACAGAAAGTACTGAAGGACTTGGAATGTAATAGTTCAACGTTGTCATGGCACTTGCTGAGTACTCCCCGCAGGTGCTGGGCAAGAGCGATAGGGTTTGTGTTGATGGTAGTCCGGTATACTGCACAGAAAGTTCTACAGGTCCTGTGTACACATATCCAAACAATGATTTGGATGATGGTGCGATGATAGTCATTTGCACCCCAGAGTCCGTCTCTATCAAACTCGTAATTCCGCATCTGATTTTACACACGCTTGCAACAGTACAGTTGCATACGCGTGAATTGATCGTTAACCTGAGGTTTGTCGTCGAAGTTGTTGGTAGATTCGACACGATAACAGTCAGCAGGTATGCCGAATCTCCACTCAAGCTCAAGTCAGTCCGGCCATCCACAGAGATGTCATTTACGCTTACAAATGAAACCTTAGGGGTTCCGTAGACGTTCAGTGCAAAAAGCATCGGATAAGTGAAGGTGTTGGTTGAAATCCTTCCAACCTTAACTCCAGGATTCATCGATGGTACTTGTAATCGAAATTGGACATACGTTGTCAAAGCTGTTGGGCCCACTAGAAAGCTGTATTGATTCGCCAACAACTGCCCAAACGCAACAGATAGTCCTGTGACTGAAATTCCTTTCTCATCTCGTATACCCCATGCTCCAACGGATACGTTTCCTCCAGTGTCAGGCACGTTACAAGTAGACAACACAGCCTGTGGAGGTATGAATGAATATGTAAAATTCACGGACAAACCTGATGCAACACTGAGAGCGATTGAAAGTGTCTTAACCGTATTGCTGCACGCTATGCTTAAATCAACCACCAGATTTCCACTAGCATCAGACAAACTATCAACAGTGGCTGAAACACCAGCAACTGTCAGAGACGATGCTTCCGTGGCACAACTCGACTTGAGGGCACAAGAAGGATTTGGGAAGTTGCTCAATACTGCAGTCACCCGTTGAGATGTTGAGTAATCCGAGCAAATGTATTGCGTTTCTGGACTGAGGCTCAGGATTTTTGGGTACTTAATTCCAAGAAACCTGTACGAAAATGTTATAATATGATCGATTACTTCCAACTGAAAATAAGCATTTCCGGTAAAATTTTGTGGCCTTGTGATTGAAATGATGGAATTGTAAGTAGTACAACCAGCCCGCGAACATGTCGAGACAACATCGATTATACTTGCGCTGATACTCTTGTCTGATTGCAATGAGGAAACATTGAAATGCGAGGGTGAAAGACCGGAAGGTAAATTTTCAGTCGTAACGAAAACTTGAACAGACAATTGTGGTCCCTCCAAAGGATATTGCAAGGATATGGAAGGCGGCGGATCTTTCTCGACTCGTAATATTATGGATGCTGTAAGGTACCTCGAGATCGCATCCCCACATTCCCCCGTAAATCCATACCAAGAGCACATCCAGGACTTAAACGGAAATGAAAGATAAATGGACATGTTGCCAGGGCTCCATTTCCCCGGTGGCTGAGCATTCAGCCATAATTTCGTTGTGCTAATGCTCGAAGACTGGACGGAGGCTTGGCATTGAATTTCGGGGTCATCATTGATAGCACACGAGGGAGCTGCGGAGGAATAACTTGACGAGTCAAACATTGGTATGTTGTTCAAATCCACATTGAGCTGCAGCACTTCAGATTGCCTAATTTGTTGAGGGCTAGTTCTTGATACCTGGATATGACCTTGTAGCTTTGGTAAAATCTCGAGAGTGAAGGTTGCTGACTGCACTTTAGAACTTTGATGAGAGCCAGCGACGTTCAAGCTCAACGTGCCAGTAACTGAACCTGTTAAGCTGCTTGCAGGAAGTGATACTTTCAAAACGCCATTGCTTGCAGTCAGACTGCTACCCGACAGAAGTCTGTAGGTCAACGGTTGCACTTGAAACTCGTTGGTATCGAGAGAGACTTGAAAGTCTGAGATGCTCATTGCCGGAAAGTTCTCCAACGCTATCTGGATAGTCTGCTCAGTCGCAAGGTTGAACTGCGAAGGAGTCACAAAGTCAACTCTCGCCGCAGGGATTTCATAACCAGGAATGCAAAATTGATTGCTGCATGATATCGGCGCGAATTGCAATATCCGGATGTAATCGGGATACATGTCTCCGCAGAAACTATCGAAGTCACAAGGAGTTATAAACTGAACAGAAGTCGAAATTTTGCGACTGAGACGTTGATTTTCAATTGTGAATATGCTCAACGACTGATTTCCAATCGAGTAACTCGATGGCAGCAATGCCGTTATCCGCCATTGATGACACTGTGATAGAGCGGCACAATTGGGAACAAGAGAAAGATTCGAGCAATTGAGTAGACCGAGCGTTACAACGAGCTGATTCAAATTCACCATGGGAAAGTTAGTCACCATCAGGCTGACTTGTGTTCGATATTGAAGAGTTCGACCAGCTACTGTCGAAGAAGTTGGAGCTTCCGATGGTTGTAGTGACGTAAGGAGAACTTCATTGTTGCTGTCAAACTGAAAGGGAAATGAAATTTTATATTCTTGGCCAGACGAGGTTATCATAACTTGAATGAGAACTTGTCTCGCATTTGATTGTGCAGGAATGGTGTATTGCACGTTATAAGTTGTTCCCGAGTATCGAGATACGCTTTTCACTGTCAAGTCTGTCATCACGCTTGACTTCATTGTCAAAGTGATGGAGCTGCCATTTGCCAGGGAAAAAGAGGCCGGAACATTCCGTACGTACAGATCGGCTTGAATCGCTGAGCCGGTAAACCCCCTAGTCGTTGATGGAGGAGAGACTTGCAGAGGAGCCGCACTATACAGCTGAAGCTGTGTAGACAAAGAAGATCCACAGGGGGACTTACAACCTGCTGGTGAGATAATGATGCTCGCTGACTGCCCTGACATGGATGGAGTACAAAGAGAAAGGTACAAGTTTAGATTGTCTGAGGTAGAAAGGATTTTGAAGGATCCGTACTCAGAGTCACATCTGCCACTGCCTGATCTGGAATCAAGGGCAACAGATCCAAAGGTTACTGTCAAACAGTAGGACTGATTTGAAATACATTTCTGAATGTTCATTGGGATGGGAAAATATTTTGTTTGTATCAAAACCGTCTGTTTGCCAGAAGCTAGTCCTTGCGTTGGAAACACAGAAACAATTTCAGCAGGTGTATGAACGTAAAGGAAATTAAAGTTGAAAATGGACATTGGATTGGTCAGCAGAGTAATTTCAACTTGTACGCTTGCATCGTTTGCATTGCCTAAGTTATACCTTGGGGTTGTAAGCATAATCTGCGTTATGAAAGAATTTGACTGAACAAGATACACACTTGCTGCCACATTGCCTGGTTGGATGGACGCGTCTATCAGGTGACTTGTTGTGATGACAGGGAAATTTTGAAACTGCACGCTCACTTGATCTCCGCCAAAGTCAGTTCCTTGGGAAATTGAAACCTGTGAGATGTAAGGTACCTGATCATTGTAATATTCCATGGAAAAGCAAAGAGATGGATTCACTTGACAGTACTGCGAATCGCATGTTGCGTTAGCTCCCTCTAAAATCATGCCTCGAATGAAAGTCTGATTTTTTGGTGGTGCCTGTGTTTGTAAGGATAGGACTGCTTGTTGCGCTGTGCTAAAATATTGTTCAGAATTGATACGAGTCTTCAAGGTTCCAATACAGACTGAGTATGTTGACATAGTTGGAATATTTGAAATCGTTAGCGACAAGAGAGAATCTTTAGATTGAGGCAGTTTTATCACTTGCTGCCCTCCACTCAGAGAAGAGACCTGTCCATTGCTTGATGATATTCGACTGATTCTTTGGAGAGAAGGATTTGAGAACACCAAGGGCTCGAATGATGCTAATGGAGCACTACGATTCAGCAAGTCAAAGACAGACATAGACGCCTGTCCAAGCGAGAACTGATCAGTGAGCATGAGGCTTAATTGTAACGTTCCAACACTGTACATCGGACCATCCTTTGAGCAGGAAAACGGTTGAACAGTTATTGTTCTCGAAGAAAGTATCCACCCGAATTGTACTACGATATCAGAGCAATTAAACTGTTTGATCTCAATAGAAGGACCCGATCTCAAGGCAATCACGCCAGGCACGTTGTTGATATGAAAACTAATCGTTCCACCCAAATTGGATGTAAGAATGTTCGTTGATGGCTGTATCGATGTAGATGGGATGTAAGGAGATCGAGCTTTCAGATACTGGAACCCACTGAGGACACAATGAGCCTGATTCTCATCCACTTTGCACACATCGGATGATTCCATTGGTAAAGAAGAAGCAAAATCTAAATGAATGTTCACTGTTGAAGGAAGAATCAGAGCAGGCATTCGAAAGCTAATCACAAATGTGCTTGTACATGTAGCACAGGGCTCGGAAGCGACAGCAGAAACTGCGCTCACTCTTCCATAGTTCAGGTCAGTTCCATCTTGATTTGTCAAATATATCTTCAAATCATCCGTTTTCAACGAAGATGGTGCATTTTGCAGTGTGACTCTGAGATCTACCTCGCTGAAAGTATATCCGAACGAAGGAATGAGTGTTGAAAGAGCCAAAGGAAAAACTTTGATGACTCGCACATACAGGGTTACTGACCTGAGACAATCCAATCTGCCACCACAGAGTGATATGAAAATTGAAAAATTTCCTTCCAAATAAACAGGGTACGAAATAAGCAGAATCAAGGAAATTGTTTGATTGTTGCTCTGAATTGACCATGATGGATCAATCTGAGCTGTGAGAGGAGACCAAGTCATCGCCACAGGATTCAATGGGTATATTTGGTCAGAGTGAACCAGAAGATGAATGCTCGACGATCCTGTGAATGATGGAAGAATTGAGCTGTTTTGTGAAACAATGGAAGGATATTGGTAGCATGACCCCTGATGGAAATTCGAGCAACCATACCTATAAGATCCTGACTTGCATGGAAGATCACTACAGTTCAGACATACTGAGTCCGCATTTCCAGAGCAGTTGCGAGTTACATACTGAGAGCTAGAACACACAGAACATGGTGAGCAAACGCCCAAATGCCCCAAACCACAACCATGTAAAAAATGCATATCCGGACACTGACGAGCAGCGCAAGAGAAACACTTGCATCCAAAACTAAAATATTGACCTGAGCTACATTTCGACAGAGAAAAACATCCAGTCAAACTAGAAGCATTCGAAGCATTGCACCAGCGCCCTCCCCAGCCCAGCTCGCACTCGCAGCCCCCGTCGCTCTCCCGGCAGACGCCCTGCCTGCTGCAAGTCCCGTTGGCCGTACAGTAGACGGAGCAGTTGGGCCCGTAGAGGTCCGCCGCGCATCGCTCGCAACGAGGCCCTGTGAAGCTCTCCTTGCACACGCAGGACCCGTTGACGCACAGCGCCCGGCCTGCTGTAGCGTTACAGTCTCGGGCTGACAGACAGCCTGACGGCGCCGCTACCGTCGCGGAGGTGTTAGATACGTTGCACCAGCGCCCTCCCCAGCCCAGCTCGCACTCGCAGCCCCCGTCGCTCTCCCGGCAGACGCCCTGCCCGCTGCAAGTCCCGTTGGCCGTACAGTAGACGGAGCAGTTGGGCCCGTAGAGGTCCGCCGCGCATCGCTCGCAACGAGGCCCTGTGAAGCTCTCCTTGCACACGCAGGACCCGTTGACGCACAGCGCCCGGCCTGCTGTAGCGTTACAGTCTCGGGCTGACAGACAGCCTGACGGCGCCGCTACCGTCGCGGAGGTGTTAGATACGTTGCACCAGCGCCCTCCCCAGCCCAGCTCGCACTCGCAGCCCCCGTCGCTCTCCCGGCAGACGCCCTGCCCGCTGCAAGTCCCGTTGGCCGTACAGTAGACGGAGCAGTTGGGCCCGTAGAGGTCCGCCGCGCATCGCTCGCAACGAGGCCCTGTGAAGCTCTCCTTGCACACGCAGGACCCGTTGACGCACAGCGCCCGGCCTGCTGTAGCGTTACAGTCTCGGGCTGACAGACAGCCTGACGGCGCCGCTACCGTCGCGGAGGTGTTAGATACGTTGCACCAGCGCCCTCCCCAGCCCAGCTCGCACTCGCAGCCCCCGTCGCTCTCCCGGCAGACGCCCTGCCCGCTGCAAGTCCCGTTGGCCGTACAGTAGACGGAGCAGTTGGGCCCGTAGAGGTCCGCCGCGCATCGCTCGCAACGAGGCCCTGTGAAGCTCTCCTTGCACACGCAGGACCCGTTGACGCACAGCGCCCGGCCTGCTGTAGCGTTACAGTCTCGGGCTGACAGACAGCCTGACGGCGCCGCTACCGTCGCGGAGGTGTTAGATACGTTGCACCAGCGCCCTCCCCAGCCCAGCTCGCACTCGCAGCCCCCGTCGCTCTCCCGGCAGACGCCCTGCCCGCTGCAAGTCCCGTTGGCCGTACAGTAGACGGAGCAGTTGGGCCCGTAGAGGTCCGCCGCGCATCGCTCGCAACGAGGCCCTGTGAAGCTCTCCTTGCACACGCAGGACCCGTTGACGCACAGCGCCCGGCCTG